TGGAACATACTATCTGAAAAACTATAATGGGTATAGTTAACAAGTCAGTCCTACATTTTACATATACATCTTGAAAAACAAAACACTTTCAAAAGAAGTAAGGTCATTTCATTGTAAATCTACTTATACTAGGCAATGTGAGATATTCAAACTTCAACGTACATTTTTGTATGCATTTCAAGTCCTGTATTATATACCAAAATCTCTTGGAGGGAGAGCGTGATACTTGTGTATAGATCTATACGGGATTGACAATCCCGCACCTAAACTACTAGCTATAGTTAGACCAGCAGGTCTGGGGTGACAAATGTCATAACACTGCAACACCTGAAGAATGTTGTTACAGGCCGTCAGTGTCAATAGCATGGTTATAAAACTAAAATAAAAAGTATAAAACAAGATTGATTTACGGGATTCATATGTGCATTGCAGATTTCTATATTATATTTCATACAAAGATCTTTTTATCATTCACGTATAAAAGATACCAACACATTCCAGCTTTGGGAACTTTTTGAATCACTTACAAGAAAATATTGGATTTTCTGAAAACCTCGTTTACCAATTTCCTACCAAAAAGGATATACTTTTCAACTCAAGACACTCATGAACTCACCAACTTAATTGTTGACACTTTTTCAAAACCACTTGTATTTCTCAAGGAATCAGTGATACAGGTAACTACCAGCTTTTGGGGGAAGGAACACAAAGGATGTTTTTATTATTGAACATTTATCATCATATTGTAAATATTCTTTTGCTAATATGTATAACGCAACAACATACGTTTTCATTATATATGTGATGGTTGTGTTACTTTCTTTACAATATTCAATGGTTGTGATACTACGTGAAGTCATCCACCCCCGAATGTTTCCGCCATTCTGGTTTGGGGGTGTGACATATATGCTCATTATATAATAACTAGGCTCGTGCGTGTGAACAAGTCTCCGTTTGCCACCTAACACGGTACCCGATACATCAATCCAATCTACTAACCACAAGTGAGTTCATACCCCTTTAATCAACCTTTGAAATGCTTTTAAATGTTTTAAATACTTTATGGGGGGATACAAGTTAAATACTTATAGTTATTGCATCAATCACATGTGATTGCATTAATCACATGTGATTGCATTAATCACATGTGATTAATAACCAGAAAACCAATGATTTATTCAAACTGTTTATCAAATTGTTTCACTTCAAAATGTTTTACAAACTCTTTTACTTATCAAATGCTTTTATTAAACTTTAGTTTATTCCTTATAAAAATTGCATGCCCATATATGTATAGATATATAAGTAATGTTTAAAGGGCTTAGGAAGGCCATCCGCCCTATTTCCTTTTCCTCGATTTGGATGTGGTCTGGTGGGATTTCGGGTGACCATCTGAGGGTCGTTTCATACTTATCAGTACATCAATAATTAGTTACCATCGGGGTAACACAGAACATATACAACTATACTAGAAACAGAACATATACAATTATACTAAAAACAGAACATATACAACTATACTAGAAACAGAACATATACAACTATACTAGAAACAGAACATATACAACTATACTAGAAACAGAACATATACAACTATACTAGAAACAAGACATATACAACTATACTAGAAACATAACATATACAACTATACTAGAATGAGAAACATTACGTATACATGAACACGTTAACAATTGTGATCCACTGTGTCGGAGCATGCCTTAAATGTCATGGCCCGAGTTGTAGCCAGAATTCTCTTGGAGGGAGAGCGTGAGTTTGCGTATAGATCTATATTGGATTGACTATCCTACACCTTGCTGCTAGCTACACCCGGACCTGCAGGTCTGCGGGTGCCAAACGTCATTCCGTTATTACGACCATTCATTATGTCGTTGTTACCAGTCAATAGCATGGTGCAATTTATCACATGATACCTTAATATAAATCCGGTTTAAGGTAGTTAGTACAGCAGTAGTTCCTATAATACAAAACTACAATACTACAATGATTTACCCATTACATATTTTAGTGATAACCTCACTTAAACATTAATGTACAAACTATATATTGTTAAATGATAGCTACCCTTGGGAAAATTACACACTTTTACAACAAACAAGCATACAAAACAGTTAAGCCTTGGTAGAAGGTTACTTTAATAAGAAAATATAGGTTTTTCTGAGAGATTCAAACTTTTACAAACACTTTCAAACACTTACTTACATTTGTACAAACTTATACATTGAGACAGGTTCAAACGTTTTGACAACAAACATTGACACTAAAATACTTATGAACTCACCAGCTTAATGCTGATAAACTCTTTCAAAATAACTTGTATTCTCAGGTCATCAGTAGACAAGTACCGAGGCCAGCTTTTGAGAAGATGGAGCGCATCCAAGATTCATCTTCTTATTTTGATATACATTATTTTTGGTGTCTATACTGTACAGAACACGCTTGTATTAAAATTATATATTAATGCAATAAATGATATTGTTTGCTTATTTACATTTACTGTGTTGTGATACTTTACATGACGTCCTCCGCCCAGAACGTTTCCGCCGTTCTTGGTTTTGGGGTGTGACAAAAACCATGTACAAACTCTAAAATACACTCTGGAAATAACCACATGTCAATCCAACTTTAAACGAATGAGATTTTCATGTGTTAACATTTTCACATAATACAAAGTACAAAAACAAATAGCTGAAAAGTTGAAAATTTTCAGTTTTGATATCCCGACTCCGGAGGGCTGTAAAACATTGAATGTTAAACCAAAAATGACAACATTACAGTCTAAACTCATGTACAAATTGTAAACTACAAGTTAGAAAAAACCACATGTCAATTCGACTTCAAACGAATTAGATATGCATGTTTTAAAACTTTCACCGAATACAAAAAAACTGAAAAACTAAAAACTTCCAGCTTTGATATCTCGACTTTGGGGGACTGTAAGTCAATGAATATAATACTATAAATGGCAAATTTATAGTCTAAAATCATGTACAAACTCTAAAATACATGTTGGAAAAAACCTCATGTCAATCGGAGTTGAAACGGATGAGATATGCACCTTTTAGACGTTTCATAAAAACCGGTTCAGGCCCTAAAAGTGGTTCCGGTTCCAAACATCGGTTCCGGTTTTTAGACCCAGTTTACCCGGACCCGATGGACCCAAACTCGGATTACCCGGAACCCAGATAAAGCTAATTTTTAAATCCGGAACCGAAACCGGTTCTATATATTCCGGTTCTAACGGTTCCAGTTCCAGTCCGGTTTTCCGACTCTAAATCTCATCCCTACTCCACAGTCTACACCTCTTCTCCCTCAAATCATTCTAAAATTTTTTCACTTTATTCCCCGATCACAATTTCTCGTTCTGCATATAGATAAAAGGGCTTGCAACTAATCATCTTCACCAAATTCTTTCTCTCTCATCTTGCCAAGCAGGTAGCGAAATTATCATAGCGAGCCCCCCACCCAGCGACGCATAGCGAGCTCGGCTAACGACTCTACTCCTCCAAGCCTAATAGGAGAGAAAGAGAGTTAATTTTGATCGATTTTGTCTCTCTCAGTTGATATCCGATAAGGTATAAAGAGTTGATACGCGATAACGTATGGATTAGAAAGTAAAGCACGGTTAACTTCAAACGACGTCGAATAATTACTTTGGTACCTAATGTAATATACCCTTAAGGGTATATTCACTTTTCCATATATATATATATATATATATATATATATATATATATATATATATATATATATATATATATATATATATATATATATATATATATATATGGAGTTTTGTAGCTAAATATGATACTTTTGCTAATAACAATGGAAACACTCATAAAATAACTATTATTTTAAGACCATTTTAAGCAAAACCCTTAAGAATCCTATTTCATAGGTTAGAAATATTATAAAACAACCATATAGTGTTGAAGGATGATAATCTTTAAAACATTTGATTTCACTTAACAATTGGGGAGTTGAAGTAGCTCGCAAGAGAGGCCAAAGTAGAACTCCTTTTTAATGTATCCACCAACAAATATAAGTCACCAATAATGCTAGTTCTCAATTGTATTTAGAACTTTTATTTAAAACCTAAAGACAATTTATACTTAAAGGAGAAGCACTTAAAACCACCAATATTTTCACTAGTCTTCAAAAAAAAGAAAAGAAGAGAAGGGAGAGTGTTTTCAGACAAGATTAAAGAAATAACAAAAACCAACCTCAAATGAAGCCTTTGCTTCTCTTATACACACACACACATAAAATCTAAGGGCCATACCTCCATCATGGTCAAAGGTAAGGCCCTTGCCCTAAAGAAAATAAGCCGGAAGAGATGAGGATGCAAGCCCCCGTTACACTAAAGGGAGGTGGTTCCATGTTGCAAGTTACAAAGGTAAAAAATAGCTAATGTTGGAGATCCTCCATGCATATAGTATCGGATAAATTTAGTACTCATTATAAAAACTAAATACTTGAGACAAAATGAGATTACAGGTACAACATAACAACTTACTTGCTAAATTGTCATAATATATTGTTGAAATAAATATACAATCACATCTTATGAAAATAGCCGTGTGACAACGTTTGAAAACAAACTCAATGTTGTGAAAACAACAATGAACTGAATGATAAAAGGTTACTTATGGTTTTAGAACAAGACCCAATTCGGTGTGGAACAAGAAAAAACAAAGACATGACACAGAGTTTTAAAATAAATTATTCTTTTAAGTGATCAATCCTTAGGGCACCAACGAGTTAGAGGATATGTGACTAACTTTATTAACAAAATAACTGACATTGAGTTTATTGTATTTTTATGAAAAAAATTCAATTTAGCAGTTAACCCGTACAATAGCTAAAACAACAAAGTAACAATAGATAAAACTTAGGTCTTTCTTTATTATTATTATTATTATTATTATTATTTTTAAATATAGGGTCTTATTAAAAAAAAAAAACCTAATTTGCTTTAGCAAATGGTCGTTTCCTTCCGTGTTTTAAGATCATCGTTTTGCTTGCTCAAACTACGAATTAAATACCTTCCTTTTTTTTTTATCCGTAATAATTCTATCGGAGAGACACTAGAACAATAATCCAGCGGCAAACAATGGCGGATCCTTACTGGAGATACGGAGCTTCTGCTGACAGAGGTTCTTCTTCTTCTCTATGCAAACCCTATCTCTTTAAATTCTCAATCTATGACTCATATTCACAGCTTCAGTTACTTATCATGTGATCGAACTGTCATATCAATCACATGAGAGACAATATTCAAGTAATCTTGCAAACAGGCGTTGATTCTTGAATGGGAATGGTAAAGAAGACAATCGAAGGAACAACTAAATAACTTCTAACCCTTGAACGTCTATGCCCTAGATGAATTTCATTGCACCTCAGTCGCCCCTAGATTTTCAGTTAATCATTATTAGCGCCAGGTTATGCTTATTCACACCATTTGTTCCTTCTGATAGACGATTATTTGATCATATGTCCCGACAATGATTAGCTTCACTTTTATAGGATAGAAATTGGGCGAAACTATATGAAAATTTGTGAAACATTGCACATCTTTTTCTTCTCTAAAAAGAACATAAAAACCCTAGTCATAGTGATCATTCATGAATCTTATCTCACTGTAACAGCTAGTATCCTGAGGCCACCTTTACCTGGTTATCTAACATCAGAAGCATCAACCTTACAATCCCGAACTCCATTTGCATCCCATGATCTACTAAGCAACTCATCCAATTTCCTACTTAAAGATGTAAGAATTGAAAACTCAGTAATCTTAATTCTAATGTCATTTAACATTGTTTCTTTCTTGATATATTAATGTCTATGATTATGATTGTAGAGTTTGGTTTCACGCCCTGGTGAATATGTTCCTGAATATGTTCCAGAATCTGTATATAGTGGATATGGTGGTGGTGGAGCAACAAGCTTTAATGGTTATTCAGATCCATATTTATCTGGAAGAAGAGATGCAACTCCAGGGATGCTTAATGAAAGACATGGCTCTTTGAAGGATGATGAGTTAACAGATGGAATTATGCAATCAAATGTCTTGTTTGTAGATGGGCTTCCAAATGATTGTTCTAGAAGAGAAGTTTCTCGTATCCTTTCCCCTTAAACATATTTTCATTTAGATTTTTTTTTTTTTTCTTGACTCTTGATAAAGATCTGTTTCGACCTTTCTTTGGGTTCAAAGAAATCAGAGTTGTGCACAAGGAGCCAAGAAATGTAAGTATTCCATTTCTTTTTTCATATAGGCCAAAATAAAAGTTGGAAATAAGTATTTTTAAGAGATTTAACAGAGTGTAAAAATATTTATCAATACAACAAACCAAAACATAAGATAACATATTTGTGACATTTGTTTATTTTTCTTTTGGTTTAATTCTTATTCTAGACTTCTAGTACAAGTTTTATGGTTTTCTCATTCTTCTATTACAAAATTTTACACTTTTTATTCTTATTAAGGTGTTATACTTTTGATGGGCAAAGATGTAATTTTGGAAATAATTTTTTGTTAAAATGTGAATGACAGAGGGAGGAGAAGGCCATGGTTTTGTGTTTTGTTGAGTTTGAAGATGCCAAATGTGCCTTTACTGCTTTGGAATCCCTTCAAGGTTTTGCTTTATCTTCAAATTGTTAATTTTGATGGAATCATGAAAGGAATGGAATTGGTAATTCCATTGGAATGAATGGAGTAGAATTAAGACTTCATGTGAAGTGAACTTGTTGCATTCTATTCCTTTGTCATTCCATTCAATATCTTATCTATGAAAATCATCAAATTACGTGATTTTAGTGAAAATTTTCAACCAATAGATAGTTTGACTTTTTGGTGTTGACTATTGAGTTGACCAATGCAGGTTACAAGTTTGACAACAAGAAACCTGACTCACCTGCCTTAAGGATACACTTTGCTCATTTTCCATTTAAACTGCCTTCTAATGACCAACACATTCCAGTTTCTCACTAAATTTACTTTTTTTTTTTTTTTTTTTTGAACATATAAAACATTGATGGAATAGAGTTTAACATTGCCACGTGGCATCTTTTGATCGATCTTTTTTTCTTGTGAATGGTTTCTTCTGTAAAGGGACTTATTGTTCTTTTTTGTCTTAATGGGGAGATTGCTTAATTTGGTAAGTCAAAACGTTTTTTTTTTTACAAATTTGCCTTCATGTTTCTTATCAATCTCATTTCAGTTATTTGGTTTTTCAAAAAAAAAAAAAGTTTAAGTTTATCTATCCATACAACATTTCTATCCTATTAAAAACCGATTTTATCCGATTATATTTGTATTTGAAAACAAAATGTTCTGAAGTATTTATTTGGTTTGAGTAAACTTGAATTTTAAAGAAAAAAAAACTTTTTATAAGGTTATCTGAAACTATTTTTTTTTTTAAAACCGTATCAACCGAAAATAAAACTAGTTATATTGGTTATACAAACAAATGAAAAAATCCGACCAAAATCGGTTAGGTTATAACCGAAAATTGAATCCCAAAAATTCAATTCAATGTGAATCCGTTTCTTTTGGAAAACTGATTTTTTGGTTTTTGAAAATAATTATATACACATTATATATATTGAAATAAATAAAATTAAGACATTAGTTTTATCTATTATAATAAACAATAAATATAAAAAAACTCTAAGAAAACGCTGAAATTCTATTAAAAAGTTTATTTCATTTGATGCAAATCAAATACGTATTCAGAATCCTTTATTTATTTATTTTTAATTTTATTATCATAACCCTCTTTTAAACATAATCTAGGAGACCCTACAACCTAGAAAATCTATAGAAATACATATAAAAAACTTTGCGATATCTGATTTTTTTAGGGCTAAAATTCACAACTTTTTATACCAACTTTTATACCAACCAGTTGATTTTATTTTGAAATTATATATATATATATATATATATATATATATATATATATATATATATATATATATATATATATATATATATATATATAGTCCGACTAAGGTGATTACTCAAAAAATGGTGAGGACTGCAAGGACAGTTCTCTACCACCAAATTCATCAATGGAACAAACGTCAAATACATATCTATTGTAACTAATACGTAGTCGATGGTTTAATTACATACGACGAATGTCCATGAAACGTCATTTAAATGAGTTTATTATTTATTTTTGTATATATTTAATTTGTTTTTAAAAAAATTAAACATATATATATATATATATATATATATATATATATATATATATACACACACACACACACACACAAACACTTCGGTTTTTTTCGTTTTTTGGTGCTTTTCTAAAATATCTTTAAATTTTTTTTATTTATTAATTTCTAATGTCTTTATTACATAGTTCAAGATTCTAGTGCTTTTGTTTATTTTTGTTTTTATTTATTTATTTATTTATGAAACAAAATATCAGTTCGAGTTTTTAATTTTTAACAATTATAAAAGTTTTAAATAACAAAAATATTAAGGATCATATCATTCTTCGTTCATACTATTTTTAAATAATAATAATAATAATAATAATAATAATATTATTATTATTATTATTATTATTATTATTATTATTATTATTATTGCTTATTTAACTTCCAAACATACACTTTTTAAAAGAAAAAAAATTACTTTTGCTTATTTAACCCTCCAAACAATTAACTTTTCTAGAAAAATATCACAATTTGGCATATAAATACAAGAATGATATAGCATCTCACGAGATTTTAACGATAAATAAAATTAAATATTGACATTTTATTTTTTCAATCCTACGATAAATATTGGTCCTTGCAGTCCTCATTTATTTTGAGTCTTCATTCGATCCAACTTATATATATATATATATATATATATATATATATATATATATATATATATATATATATATATATATATATATATAGGCTTAAGTTATTCTATTTTAATTAATTATTGTGCTATTGTATGCATCAATGTAGGTCAATCATTTTTCTTATTTTAAGAAAGTAATTTACCTATATTATTAAATAAAAGAAAAACAGAATAATGTCATTTAATTAAAAGAAGGGTAATATTGTATATTTGCATTGCCTTCAAATTATGAAACCCGAATTTAAAAAAAGAAATTTACAGATTTTAATGGATCTTTGATTATTTTAATTTTTGAATTTTGATTTTTTTAAAATTAATTTAGCTTAAATAATTTTAACGTAATTTTTAATCATACCCGGTTTTATTCTGACAGAATGACATTCTTTTATAATGATATTCTATGAAAATGCAAGCCATAAACTAATAAAGTGTTTTACTTTTCGCAGAATAAACAAATTTTTAGATACAAGTTAAATTTTTTCTATCACATCCTTGAAAAAATAAAAAACTTTATATTTTATTCTATAATAATGAAACACTCCTTAATAACAAACAAATATACTATGTAGATTATTCTATTGGAATATACTATTACATATGACAATGAGTAGTGCATTTTTATGGAAGATCGGTGACCATTGAGGATTGTTCATGTCTATCCCACACACATTCATCCAAACTTTGGGCCATTGATCATAATGTATTTCATTAATTCTATGAGAATAATTGTCATGAAATTGAATTATGTAAGAATAAAACTATGTGAGAATGCTTTTATACAACAAAAATAAAACAAATTTTAGTAATTCTAAGAGAACTCATACTACATGTTAAAATCAAGTAACACAAATAACGAACTCATAAATTATTTTTGTGTTCTTCAAGAATTTGAACATCAAGTTCTCTTTCAGGCATTTCTACAAACACCTGGTGTGCAATATTCTCAAATAATTATTTTTGTGTTCTTCCATATGTTACCTTTGCTACTGGTAGTAAGTTCTAGTCAATTGCTTGGTCATATATCTTCAGTCTAAAAACTTAATAAGAGTTTCTGGTTCACTTCCTAGAGCATAATTTCAAGCTTCTATTCTTCCCAACTATGTTTAGACCATTCAAAGACTCAAACAACATCTTACAAAATGGACAAAGATCATAAATCGGTAAGTAAATCATATATAAAATGCTAGAGGTTTGATATATAAAACGAAGAAATAAAGAAAGGGGAATAGAAATCAAACCTGTTATCGATAGATGGGTGCGTAATCAATTGGTTCGATCGAACCCTAAACGACGCACCTGACCCCAAAATTTAAACTTCGAAGAAGTAGGGTCATTCTGCACGTCCGACCTGCAGTTGAAAACGTTAACGAACCAACAAAGAGGATGGATATAGAGGATCAATCCTGTTAAGAAGGAGAATATTTGATGAACATTGCAACATACATCACTTGCTCTATAGAGATCACAGAGCTAATTTTCAACCATATGTTGACAACTAAAATTCATACTTGCAATTTGTAATAGAGATGACGCACTACGATTATTTATATTCTGAAAAACCCTATTTAACCTCAAATTAACCGGTTCTTATTGAAAAAAATACAGAAATTGAGAAAGATTTGGAGTTTACCTGTATAGGCGCTTGGGTATGGTACCGCGGGTTGATCGCCTTCTTCTACCACCAGCATCAATGACCGGAACGTCGTGAAAAACATCGATACAGTAGAAACGTAGGCAATAGGGGAAGAAATCGACATTCGAAGTAAGGAAGAAGGACATGATGATCAATAAGGAAGAAAAGGAGAAGAAGAAGAAGAAGAAACCTAGGTTTCTTGATGGGTGGAGATCAGAAGTAGATAATGGTGGTGGGTGGACACCCATGTGGAATCTTGAAGAAAAAAACGATGATTATCGATGGAGGAGGTTGTGTTAAAGTAATCGATGATCTAATGCCATGTACAGATGAGAGGGAAAAGGTTGGGGCGACGATAAATAGAAGATACGAGGGAAGAGGCGGACGTGATGATATATATACTAGAAATTGGGTTTTAAAAAACTTGAACAAGTGTGCACTCGGGGGCGCTGCCCCCGGACCCCCGTTCGTTTAGGGGCTTCACCCCTAAATAGCAATGTACTTTAAATCTTGAAAAACTTGAACAAGTGTGCACTCCTACACCATCCTAACTTGTTCAATATTCAACAAGATCACTTTTGGTCAACAAATTTAATCCTATTACACTTAAATAATATTTGATGAATTCACTTTACCCATATATATATATATATATATATATATATATATATATATATATATATATATATATATATATATATATATATATATATATATATATATATATATATATATATATATATATATATATATATATATGATTTAATAATAAGTAAAAATAAAAAGAAAAAAAATAAAGTGTTGCATAGTCTTCTCGTGTTGTGGCATTACAACGCATCACATAACCCGACGACCATCCTGATTTAGTTTTTACTCACTAAATCAATGTAAATATTAAAATTAAGAGAGGATTAAAAGAAAAAAATTTAATGTATTCCACATATCATTTAGGAATGGCAACGAGGCGGGTTCGACGCGGGGCATGGTTTCCCAAACCCGCCCGATAACTTTCGAGTATCTTATCGAGACGCTCCATTGGGTTTCGGGTTTTTCCATCGGGTTTCGGGTATCTTATTAGGTTTACAACAATTCATAACGAAATCTTTATTTTATTTTAGGGTACTCCGATGTCTTATAAAAATACATGTTCTAGTATCTCTTTTTAATTAAAAATATGATGCATTACTTTAATAAAATAAACCGAACGATATATCAAAAATTATTTGATTTAAGTTTAGTGTAATACGTCAAAACATAAAAAAAAATGATCATTTACACCAGATTGTTAATGACTAAAAAATTGTCCACAATAAGTATTTTATCTTTCAACACGTGTAATTAAGATCAAAAGGTTTCGAATATATATATATATATATATATATATATATATATATATATATATATATATCGGGGCGGGGTGGCGCGGAGCGAAGATAAACCACTTCCTGCCCTGAACCCGATAAAAAACCCGATAATGACCCGTTACCTGACCCGAAAAGATCAGGTTTCGGG